AAAAAATATACCTATACATTTCGCTAAATCCTCCACAATGACATAATTGTTGTCGCCTACTTGTTTTTTTATCCCATCGATCATCTCAATAGAGGTTTAGTGATGGTCGAAAAAAGTGGATTCCACAAAATAGAAATGGTTTTCTAAATGTTTCCAAATTATTTGCCATCGATTGTGGTGGTCTTTATTAAATTTGGGTCAATGTTCGCCAACTATACGGTCCAACAGTTTTTTACTAATAACTAATAAACTATTTGTTTCCAAATTCTGGAAATGGTTTTCTAAATGTTTCCAAATTATTTGCCATCGATTGAGGTGGTTTTTATTAAATTTGGGTCATTTCTCGCTAACTATACGGTCCAACAGTTTTTTATTAATAACTAATAAACTATTTGTTTCCAAATTTTGGAAATGGTTTTCTAAATGTTTCCAAATTATTTCCTAATTATTTGATTCACTGTTTTTTCAAAATATGTAAATTGTGCGCCAAGTATACGCTGGTGGCCTTAACTTGTTCTAACTGCGCATACCAAAGAGGATTGACTAAAGTACAGGCTCAGTTCTGGGGGTTAGAGTGACCCCAGGGGCATCATAGTACTGCACCCCAGGAGAGGGAGGGCACCACACGCAATGGGGGTGTCTACCCGTCGGTGCCAGCAGCAGAGATTATAGGGGAGATTGCTAACGCCAATGGCGAAGCTTCAACCGCGAATTTTCCTAGCGGAACTGGCGGAACTAATTTTGCGGGTGTACCTGTGAATCAAACCGGTCGCGAGGGCAAGAGTGTCGGTAATTTTCGGAGGGCGTGGGTACAGATCAGGCAGAGCGCGAGCCCGAGAGTGTCGGTAATTCGGAAAGACCAGCAAACGCGAGAGTGTCGATAATTCGAGGAAATCGTGACGAAAGAAAACATCCAATATCGAGCGGAGTGGGGGTATGATGGAGAAACAATCGATGAATGGAATGAAAACAATGAATTCACTTTTGTAAATTCGAACTAGTAGTCGCGTTGTTGGTCGCTCGCTCCCGAAGTCGGGTGCGTAGTTGTGGGTGGCTTGCTGGCGAATGCATTCATGCGGGTGTGACCCGTTCAACGGGTCGAACCAATAACTTCCTGTT